GGTGAAGGATCCAAGGAACTATTAAAGAAAATTTCAGGCCCATAGGCCCAGCAACACACGCCAGAAGTGCCACATCGATCAGGTTATCTGACTTTGCGAATGCAGAGCTCTATATAGTAAAGACCGCGAGCAATATAAGCGACATAATGAAAAAATGATACATCATACAGTGCAGCCCCAACCGCACAGTGCGCACAAAATCACCCTATCTACCATCAAAGAAGTGGAGTAATGTGAGGAGTAGAAAAGGACAAAATCGTCTACCATTGGATAGGGGCCAAAAAAAAAATAAACGGCGAGGAAATCAATCTAACGTCGCCGCACGCACCGAAATAACGGTCCTGCGAGGAACAGGAATTGACCTCCAGGCTGCCACCGCCAAACCGAGTCCCATTTGCTTGATGGCGGCTTGCTGATCTATAGGGATCTACTAGTATGGCAGTAGCAGCAGCACAACAGAGCAGCAGCAGCAGCAGCAGCGCGATGGGCTTGGGGCGTGAGTGCCTGCTATATGTGGCGATGAGAAGGCCCTAAACCTGCTGCACGAATCGTCACTGGTATGCAGTCATCCTAAATCATTGAGGGACAAATTGGAACATGGAATCAAATTGGAATAAAAACAGTTAGATAAACCTGCAAATCGTTAGTCCGCAGTCGACTTTTAACTAGGAAGTAAGTGAAAAAACGGCAACGCCAAATCGTTGCAGAAAAACTGTGTCAGTAATAAAGAATGCACCGCACCAATAAAGTGAGAGAAACGCAAATTAGGTCGGCACGTCAGGAGACTGGCCCCGGACTACACAAATTATAGCAAGAATCACAACTTTCATAAAAGAAATCGTTAGTTGAGAGAAAACTGAACTATTGGAAAGCAACGACGGTATGCTTCGCATATCAACTGATAAGCAATGAGAGATTATGAAAGCGAACACTTGGCTCTCATGAGACTGATTTAACAAAGGCACCACCTGAGTTGACGCCAACTTAGGTTAAAGGCAGTTGCAGATATATTTGGTAAGAATAATGGCGCTAGAAATGCGCACTAGAACGCGTATAATAGGTGAAAAAACGTAAAGTGGAAACGGTGGAGAGAGAACCAGCTAAAGATAAAGCCTTCTTTCCTTGGAAGTGAATCAAAACACGATTTTTGGACGAGTTCCGCCATAGGCATCCCTCCCAGTTACCTGACTACGGTAGGCACAGTTGCGACAAGCACCGCAGCCGCTCTTAAAACGTCAAAGTCCTTCGCTTTAATAATTACTACAATGGACAAAACGGATGCATCCGTGCCCTGCCGCGAGCGTATTATTTTACTCCCGTCTTGGAGATTTATCCTGGCCAACTGCCTTTAATGCAAACTGTTACAGTCCACCATAGACATATCACATTCGAGACGCGAGAGTAAAGCCATCGGAGCGTCACAAATAGGCGGTGTAGTATGGGACAACTTCCGACGGCGGAAATCTCCAGTTTATGGCACGCCGAACCAACTCCCCTCATCCTTGCGGCTCTAATTGTTAGCCATCTGACGAGAACGAAGTAATGAGGATTGACAACGAGCTCGCACCAGCCACTCGCGCCGGTTATTTTTCGCATGCAAATAAGCGGTGGAAGCAAATCTTGTTAACGCGGGTGAGGAGAACCGAGCGGTTACGTTTTCTGTGGTGATAAACTTTTTTAGATGATGGGCTTCGAGAAAAAGCAAAAGGAAGGCATGCTGAAGGGCAATGTCTCGCTGCTGTTGCTTGCACTTACTTATAGTGCGATCTGAATTTCCCGCTTGTTCGTGAAATATTTCGGATATGGTCATCGGACCGTAAGTGTAATATCAGCGAGCAAGTGTTTTTATGTTCAGACGGAGAATATTTCTCAAAACCAATTTTCGTTTGGAAAAAACTGCAATGTGCCATCAGAACGGCCCGATATTTACCCTCTTTTCCAGCCAAACTAAAGTTGATCGTGTCCGAAGACTCCAACTAGTTGTCAGAAGACTATTTAAAATGCTGCACCCTTGAGTGACATTCTGAGCCACTTAAAAACTCGACTTCCTCAGTCCCATTGTAAGGATACTCATTCGCGAACTTCAAGACACATATACCCGTTGAACTGGGTCAAATAAGCTTAATTCTGGCTTATCAGACGAATCCGATCTCCTTCGCCGAAGTGTTACGCCGTGGCATTACACTCCCGCACAGGAGTTGTGGAAAGATAACTTCTTATGGTAAGTAATTTCCGTCCATGGTTTTCTCAGAGTCTGAAAAGGTCGATACGAACGAACCCGTTCGTGCTGTGATCAATTAGTCATCTGAGTTTATCTTACGAATTTATGCTGAATTGTAGTTGAGTTCGGATATAATTACCGAAGACAAACTGACAAATTTTTCCTTTATCGTACACTTTCTTAAAGCGACCACACTGGGGTTCACTTTGAAAATATGCTGCCATCTTCATTCGGATGATCCTTTCTCCACACCCGGATAGGCAGATCGTGGATGCCCTTGCTCGAGAAGGCCGGGGGCTGGGCCTCGAAGAAGTTCTCGAGTGCCTTCTTGACGTCGTCGCGAGTTTTGAAGTCTTGGCCGTCCAGGTGGCGTTGGAGGTGGGAGAAAAGGTGGAAATCCGAAGGGGCCAGGTCTGGGTATGAGTCAGGGGGAGGTAAGGACAAAGGAGTAACGGTGGCGTGTGGGGAGCACGGTTCCAGCTGTAGGCGACAGCAGCTCGGCAGTTGGTCGATCTTGCAATGTGCGGTCTCGCGTTGTCGTGCTGGAAGTAGACATGGGACCGCCGCCGTTGCGAATTTTGGACATTTGCCTTCAATTCTCGTAATTGACGAATGTAGACGTCGGCGGTTACTGTTGCACCTTCATCGAGCAGTTCCCAGTACTCTACGCCGCTGTAGCTGCCACCAAAGAACAGAGCATCCTTTTTTCGGGTATGACTGGTTTGGGGAGCAGGTTTCGCGTCGGCATCTTTGTCGACACGGGCGGTGAAGTTAGAGATAGAGGAGCAAGCAGCTTCTGCATCGCCTTGATTATTTCGTACGACCATGGTGTGGCGCTTGAAGAGACAACGAAAAGTGCGACCTCGCACCGCCGATCCATGTCCCGCCCCTGCGTCAGAGCATGGGGTACCCATCGACCGAGTTTCAGCACCTTGCCGATTGACTTCAAGCCGCGAACGACAGTAGTCTGACTCACCCCAAGAGCGGTCGCCATATCTCGAGTGGTGTCGAATACGGATCGCTTCCAACCGGTGTTTCCCGCATGCGAGGTCCAGAATCCAGCTCCCACGGGGTCTCGCATGGTCTTCGTCTTCGATGGAATAGTTGCCCGACGCAAACTTCGAATGCCACAAGTAGACTGTACTTCTAGCGGGGGCATGCTCCTTGTAGACTTCCTTTAGGCGTCTAATATCTTATATATAATATATCACCGCGGGTTCTTGGAGAGACAGCGTTAGAAAGAGTATGACGTTGCGGAGGTGGTCTCTGAACGGCTTGAAATCGGCGGCTGGTGGCGGAATGAAACTAGTTTGGAGTTTGTTTGATTGCATTTTGAAGAGCTTTTTATATTCTTTCCAACGGTACCTCGCGCGTCCATTTTCGTTCACTCGTTGCTGAGTTATGATCTCTAGAAATCATCACTACCATTTGTCCGAGCCATATCGACTCAACCTAATAGCTATTGATACTGCTACCCAGTTACATTAATATTTTGTAGTCGTATACACATTCGGATTCTCTATAGCGGTGGTTCCGCTCCAAGAATCTAGCGATGACACTTTTGTGCTGTATGGTGCTCATCGACCGTGCGTTTACGACTCCCCCTTCCCCCTTAGTGGCCAAGTACGATCTCCTGATGAGTTTCGCACAGCGATGCTGTACCCTGGTGGAGGCACGTTTCGATAAGTTTGAACGCCAACTCAGACGACACAGAATGGCGGTGAGTTTTTCGAATGAGAAAGCAGCATACATAACACATATAGACAACAGATAGCCACTGAGATCTGTGCAAACCAAAAACCGGGAATTTCACAAATTCCATGCAACGTACCACCATCAACTTAACGAGTACAGTAATTTTGAGATTGTACCTCCAAAAATGAGCTCACAAATCTCAACGTGGATAATGCTTAGATTGGGAAAGAAACACTGATACTAGAAATCTGAAAAAAAGTCAGAATAGGAAGCAGAGAAAAGTAACCACAACGTCACACATTCGTTGTAAACTTAAATTAATAAGACCACTCCATTGAAATTAAGATCCATTAACGGCCCACGATCACTTATAAAAATAGCTCTTTACAGGGGAAGATAGTGGAAACCGCAACGGAAGAACTCTGTACAAGTTTTGCATCAGAAAGTTGTAAGGTAGCGGCGCTAAGGCACAAGGTTGGACAGTACTCCGCAAAAAACAGTGACTCCGCCCAAAGTTACATATCTTATCGAATGTTTTACTCTTTTACGTGCTCTCTCGCCCCTTTTGTCGGGTATGTGACAAGAGAATCGTAATTCGCCGCGCTGATGGGCGTCGCGTGCGACGTCGCGCCCGCAAATGACGATGGTTCCAGGTAGTAGATGGCGACAACAGGCAATTCAGAACCGAAAATAGTCATGAATGTCTACGATGACGGGGTCTACATGAAGTCCGGTGCTCCAATCGACAGGTTAACACGAGTTAAGAAAACGCCGCGCCCATCGCCGCGCGCGACCAGCGGCAAATTACGATTCTGTTGCCCACCTCCCTCTCGTCTGGCCTCTCGCCCGAAAACCACATTCATTTTTTATATCTTGCTTAGCAAAAAAAGGGATTTCGAGCGTTCAGGACTGTTTCTTTTCCTTTTTTATTCATGGGCGTGTAAATGGCCACTTGATACAATCTCAATCTCGGCTGCCCATTATTCTCATTGTTTTGACATCCGAAGAAATCTACTGTACTCGTTGAGCTCACAGATCACAAAACTCAGCACATCACACGAAATCAACACGCACCGCAAACAATTCAACCGAAACTTACCAGTTTCTCCCGTTTAGCACTCGGTTCTGATCCGGCGGAACTGGCCGGCCTTTTCAAAGCTTGCTGCTGTAGTTGGTGATGCTGAGCCTGTGATTCGTTATGAAAATTCAAAAAAGGTGGCTACTCAACGATTATAAGCTACAACTAACCGCCTGTAATGTAAAGTTCTGAGAGAACGTTGGCGGTAACGTTCTATTATGCAGTTGATAAATTTGTGTAGCAGCTGACAGCACTGCCGTAGCCGCTTCGACTGAGTAACCTAGATAGCAGATTTTCCACATTTCATCTATTCATTTGGTAGCGTTGCAAAAATTCAAGCAAGGATCGGAATCAAAAAGTAGATAAGGAAAGTCTCTCACAGTAGTTTTTCACCGCGCTTAGGCTGATTTCAAGCGTGGGTCGTCTAGCCGCAAACCGAAGATTCAACACAGACCGAGGGCACACTCGGCGAGCAATTCTATACATCACCGACGGCCGCATCGTGAACGGTGCCTTCAGCTGCTGAAAAAAAGCATTTTCAAAGTTTCAAAGGAAGGAAAACCCACCGAGATTATCATGTACGAGGCAACCGCCACCGTAAACAAACACGTCTTGCCGTCGGAGGAAGTTTTTGCATTATACGCCCCCCCCCCCCTCAAAATTTTCTCCTTTCATCGACGCCTTCCCATATCTTACCTACCAAATCCCTAACTGTTCGAAATGTCCCCGACTTCCTACTCCATTCCCGGGATTTTTTTTACGTTCAAAACGCTGTCGTTGAGCGGGGAGGTAGTTATAAAACATAGCAACCAAGAAATCAATAACCGAAAACGCTTCTCTCGACGGCAAGGAGACCTCCTACTCTTGTGCGACGAAACGCGAGTCCCTTGAAGATCCCCAACGTAATGGGCCCTGACCGTGCACCTGGTTCATCGAATATCTTCAGATTTCCACCGAAATCAATTTCCTATTCAAACAATGAGGAAAGAAAAGATCTATTTCCAGATCAAGAGTTTCACTCACCTTAGTTTTCGCAGAGTTACCCGAAACAATACCAGAAGCAGACGTAGCAGCTAGCAGGAGAGGATGGTTAGGGGGTAAACGTGCTATCACATGACCTGCTCCAACTGGTCTATTCTGAAACAATAGTGTCATCAGCTGTCTTTTGGTCATTCATAGAGCATAAAATAATTCGATTGCCTGGTTTAAGTTGTTTTGAGTGAGAGATAGAGCAAAAGCATCATTCATACCTACTATATATAACGTATGTGTGTGTGTGTGTGTGTGTGTGTGTGTGTGTGTGTGTGTGTGTGTGTGTGTGTGTGTGTGTGTGTGTGTGTGTGTGTGTGTGTGTGTGTGTGTGTGTCACGAAATTCATAGCGAGCGTCGCAGAAAAGATAGGATGACAGTTCCAAGAAGTGATATACATGGCAGGACGGGAACACTTTTGGTGGGTGTCAGGAGGTGATAACACTTGATAAGATACGATAAGGGGCCGTAGAAGGGGAGGGTGACTGAATTCGTAGCGCAAGTTGCAGCAGGTGTGGGACCGTGATTTTAAGGAGTGATATACATGGCAGGACGGGAACACTTTTGGTGGGTGTCAGGAGGTGATAACTCTTGATAAGATACGATAAGGGGCCGTAGAAGGGGAGGGTGACTGAATCGTAGCGCAAGCTTTGCGAGCGGGTGCTGGGAACGCGTTCATTTTAAGGACGTGATATACTCATGGCAGCGACGGGAACACTTTTGTGGGTGTCAGGAGGTGATAACTCTTGATAAGATTCGATAAGGGGCCTTAAAAGAGGAGGGTGACCGAATTCGTGGCAAGTTGCAGCAACGGCGGGACCATGATTTCAAGTACTGATATGCCGTAGGGTGCTGATAACAGTTGATAAGATCCGATAAGGGGCCCTGAGAGAGCGAGGCGTCATCAAATTCGTGGCGCAGGTTACAGCAACAGTGGGAACTCAGATCCGTGAGGTGATATAGGGTGTGCGGACGGGAACATTATTGGCGGGCGACAGAAAGTGATAACAGTTGATAGATCGCGTAAGCGGGCCTCGGAAGGAAGGGTCATCAGATTCGTAACGCAGGTTACAGCAACAGTGGGACCTCTGATCCGAGAGGCGATACAGGGTGATAGGATAGTGATACGGGACGGGAGTGTTATTGGCGGGTACGGAAGTGATAGGAGCTAAAAGTGACAAGGTAACATGGGAAAATCCGCTTCACCGCTCACAACAACAATGCGATCGATATGACTCAAGTATAACGATCTCAGTGATTCCAACAGAACTCATTCCTCACTGCTTATTAGTAACGACATCGTGTACGACCGCTAAGCCAGCTCTATTCCAAATGCATGTGGTTTGTTTACAGAGATGTTATGAACAGCAGCAACTGACTTTATCACTCTTACCACAATTATCTTCCATCAGCAACTTCAGTGAGGGCCATTTAAAGGGTTCCACTGCTGAATGCGGTAGTGCATTCCAAAGCAAGACGCTTTAGGAAGACAGATTGCATAAATTATAGGCTGCTTCAGTGGCTGTCCAAACAGGCTGCACTATTTCCGTGTAGGTTATGAACGTACCAGTCGGATCGCTGGCTAAGGTAGGCTTTCCTCCTTCTGTGATGCGGGGGGGGCGCTGCTGCTGCTTCTGCGCCTTGACGGAACAAGCGCTGCTTTTCAGTTCTTGGCTGATGCAGAAGATTCCTTTGAACAGTGTGGTTGGAGATCAAAACATGCCTTAACTTAACACGCGGCAAATCCGCCACTGGTCGGCGCAAGCCGCGGGCCATGTCACAGAAGGAGGAGCGCCCGGCGACAGCCGGGCGATCCGACTGGTATAAGAAAAGAAAAGAGCAACTATAATAAGTGTTTAAATATTTACTCCAAGACTGAGAGACGTGGGTAAAGGGATAAAGGATGAAGTCTTCCATTATACTCCCATTCAGAATCGTAGTAGCTCACTAAAGCAATTGTTCAATACAATGACTTGCGGAGGCCATATGAGGTACAGTCGGTGCTCTTAGTCTCTGAGACGAATCTTACCGTCCCCGGATGGCAGAAAGTTTGGGAGGGAACAGACACGAGCTTCAAAACCCGAACCGCGCGCGTGGTAAGTGTGCCACTTGCCACTATACCACCCCCATCCAGTAATCGTGGGTAATGATGATCAAAAATGAACGCGTAAATGACAAAGCCGTAAAGCAGGTCACCGCTCCAGATTGAACCCAACCTTTTACAGCTGATTTAAATTGCCATTTGGCACTGCGACGAAGAAAACACCACGTCGCACTTTTGACACAACCTGTGCGGTTGTGGACAAGTCAGGTTTAACTTCCAAAGGAACCGCTCTACTGAACCGCTCTACCGAGCTGCGTCGATCCTGTTAAAAGAGGTTGCTGCGCCGGATCAGCGCAATTTGGCGGCCTTTTGGCATTGGCGAAGCAAAATGGAATGTCATATTCGTAACAAGGGTTCAAAAACATAAACAAAGTATGAGAACAAAAAGCTCGAAGTTTTAAGGTATTCATATACAAGGCTCTTGTCTCGGGTCTTTCTGCATTGCCAGCAGTGCGCGACCCTGGACGTGCAAAACTCTTTAACGGGAGCGTCTGAAGAGACGGCGTGGTGTTCACTGTGTTAAATATATTAGCGTATGATAACACCTTACCATATATAAATCGCTAAGTTTGTATGTTGGTGTGTGTGTGTGTGTGTGTGTGTGTTAACCGGAAGTTCATAACTTCCTTCAGATCAGTCGCAGAGAGTTCAAATCGATAAAAAAATGTAGGAGGTAAGCCAAGAACACTACTGGTGGGTCGCAGGAGGTGATAGCAACTGTCAAGGGCTTACAGGGACCATAAAGGGGGGGGGGAGAAAATCGCATAAATCGCGTCACACCAACGTTGGAGTTGGTTCCAAGAAATGATATGGTGGCCTGGACGTGATCATCATTGCTGGGTGGCAAGAAGTTATAATTGCATACAAAAACTGACAAATGGCGTCAAGTGGTGAGGGTCACCAAACTCGTAGCGCGTGCTACAATAACAAAAGAGATGTTCGCTCTAAAAAGTGAAATAGGGGACGGCACGAGAACATCATTGGTGGGTGGCAGGAGGTGATAGCAACTGTCAAGGGCTGACAATGGCCTCAACAAGAGAGGGTCATCAAATCCATACCTCGCGTCCAGGCATGGATTGAACCATGCGCGCAGAAATGCGCGTCAGCCAAACTGGTAATATACCTAAATATACTAATATTTCTTTTACGAGCTGGGAAATTCGATGGTTTGGCAGCCACTGTGGAATGCTGCGTCGTCAAAGTGCAGGTCAACAAACGACGTCAAATTGCCGGTGAAGGAACCATCACCATATGAGTGTTATCTAGCCCCCTCTCCCTTTATGCCTGTCGAGGTATTTGTCCTGTTCTCTTGTTGAGTGAATGAAACACCGCATTACCCAATGAACTGGCTGTGTTGAGATGGGAATTAGCCACAGGGCTGTTTATGAATCCTGATGAGGCGAATGGAAGAAAGCACCAAAAACATATCCTTTTGTTAAGAAATTTCCAAAAAAAAAAAAACACAGAAACTATTGAGTACTAGGAGGCCATTTTCAAGGAATCGCGGAAAATTTCAAAAAAAAAAAGAAAAAAAAAGGTCGACCTGTGCTGCAGAAGAGCTCCTTGTTGATAGCAAGTGGGTTCACATTGCTGAAGGACTGGCTTTGCAGTTTCGTTAGCATCTGCTGTACTATCCTCACTTGCCGAACAATTCATATCGAATCCATCTAAAAATAAGGTTTTAGCAGCTACTATCACTACATTGATGAATTGATGAACGAGGAGCTGAAATGTATCCTACTATATAAAATCGGCTATGTCCGTGTGTGTGTGTGTGTGTCTGTCTGTCTGTCTGTCACGAAATTCATAGCACCTGAAGAAGAACTTGGAGAGGTCGGGTCATGGTGGGGATGGGTAGAGCATGGGACAAAACCTAAATAGCACCCATGACCCATGGTAAGCCCCGCCCACAGTGGGCGGGGCGTGCGTCGAAAGTTAGCGATGTCACTGAAAAAAGTCATAACTCGGTTCCAGAGCAGTCCCCAGATGAGGGAACAGTGCAGTAAAGTTAACAAAGGGCTGACCGACCAAACAGAGGAGACACACCCGAAATGGGCGGGGCGTACTTGAGATGGGCGGCGCTTCCCGTGTCACTGAAAAATAGCTATAACTTGGCTACAAAGCAGCCCGGAGACGGGAAAAAGTGGGATAAGGTTAGCACTGGGTGGGCAGAGCAAACGGAGCGGACACACCCGGTCCACCATGTTTGTTGCTGAGGCCCGTCCACAGTGGGCGAGGGTGCATTTGAACTCGAGGTACCAGTTTATAAATCGTGGTTTGGTCCTAAAGCACTACAGAAGGTGCAAAGTCCAAGTGATCAGATGTCGGAATATGCGAGGCACTCCCGCTGTAGGCGAAGCTAAATTTAAGAAAATTCGACGGTTTCAGAGCACTCCAGACACCGGGAAAAAGTAGGTCATCGAGGGGTCACAGGTTCACAAGTGTGAGGCATACCCGTTGTGGGTGGAGCGTGCGTCGAGGTGGGCGGGGCCGGTCTTAAGAATCCTTCAAGCGGTTCCAGAGCACTCCAGGCCTCCTCTGTGATACGGCCCGGCCTTGCGGGGCGTGGCTCCATCGCGCCTACCTGCATTCGTATGATCAAATGCTCGACTAATACCCGGCTTTTCTCTCATCTGTCCACTTGATCAACGCTCCTTACCACCATCCATACACCGTAATAGTGTTGAAAATAGCAGGTATGATGTGGAATATGAACATGCTATTGGTCAAAGAATGTTGACCATCTGTTCAAATAAAAGAAAAGCCGGATACTAGGTGGTTATTGAAATGTGTGGAAGAAGATAAGCGCAGCGGAGCCGCGCCACTCGGCAAAGCCGTGCTGTACCCCAAAAGGAGAAGCGCCGACGTCAGCCGGCTGTTAAAAGAGATAAGGAAGAGCGCACTGGATTCGAAGTGCAAAACTGAGTGGATCGGACATAAATGCTTAAGTTTGGAGGCACTCGTTGCCTTCATTTCCTGTTCAGATGCCTCTTTTAAACATGGAAACCCTGTCTGCGCAAGGAGGATTCGCTACTTTCGTAGCTTAAAATCCTTGAGGAAAGCGCGACCCGCTCGTTCTGAAATCATCGCCCCGCCCAATGGCCGCGGCAACGCCCAACTTCCAATTCTTAAGGCTTCTTGACGGTGAGGGTATTTCGCTACCAACGCTCTCCATTGTGAAAAAAGGTGATAAAGAGGAAAAGAGCTTCCCAACGAAAGGAAACTCGTTCGATCGCGCTTTTTTCTCGCCTTATGCAAGTAAAAGTGCAGTTAAGCTTTTTAGGTTTTTTTCACTTCAGGGTAACTTACTCATTAGTACTTCAACCGCACAGCTCACAATTTTAAGCACGAGGCGAGTCTTTGAGAGTAATGACACATTACTCGGATTTGAGAACCGTCTACGTTAAGCGGTTGCTGAATTCTGCCGTTACTACGTCTTTCTGGCCTCCCTTCTAATACACGAGAACTGCCATTATAGAAAGGAGTAAGTCGGAGGATTTCATATTGGGATACACTACGGCAGAAATGTACTTTCCCACCATGTTCGTGTCGTTCCTTCAATCCACCGTACTTCTTCCAGTATGTCCAGCATTCATGACAAAGACGCAATTGTAAATTCGAAGGTCCCCAAGCATGCCATATATTGCTTTCCACAGCCTGAATACTCTCATAACAGTATTGCTCATTTACTGAAGAAAAATCGAAAAGAGTACTAACCAGAAAA